ACCACTCAGAAGTTTCTGTTCTACTTCTAGTCTCCTGATAGCTTTTACCATGAACAGCTGTAGAATTTAGTCCAATACTTTTTCTCCAACTAGTGACAGGATCATATGGCTTTTTCCTTTCCTCTGTTAAAATGATGACTTTTGGGGGTGGACCTTCCAATGCTGAACCAACACTGCCATCCCTATAACAAAACCACTTTCTACACCCTGCCAGATCTGACTTCCAATAGTTTGTCTTGTTAAACAGATTACTATCTATGTTCATACTTTTTTATTCTATTATCTTTATCCAGTTTTAGGATTAGCACAATGTTGAGTTCCTAAAATGAGGGGAGAAGTGTTCCTTCTTTTTCTGCTTTAATTGTTTGATATAATTTATCAGTTAAAATGTTTATGAGCCTGCTGGTGTCATATAGGTAGGTTTTCAAGCTAGTAACATACTTTCTTTAATAGGTGCTATTCAAATTTTATATTTCCTCCAGAGTTAGTTTCATTAATTTGTCTTCCAAGGTACTTCTTAGAAGTTGTCAAATTTATTTCAAAAAAGATTTTTGTAATATGCTTTCTATATCCTTTTAAATTCTGTAAAATCTGTGGTAATGTCTCCTAGATCTTAATATTGTAATTTAAAAAATGTATAACTGATATTGTGTAACAGGAAGAAAAGGTCTAAAAGAGCAGGGGAATTGGGAGGGGTAGGGGAAGGAAAAAAAGGGAAAGGAAAAAATATGAGAAGAGGAAAAAAAATGGAAACAAGGTCTTTGCAAATAGGGAAGGGTGGAAGGGGAAGGGGAAAAAAAATAAGAACCAAGATACTCATGTAATGGTACAAGATCCCAATGATGAATGTAACTGTATTTTATACTGAAAACGTACCAATAAACTTAATGGGGGGAAAAATAAATAAATAAATAAAAAATAAAAACCACTCAGAGCTAGCAGTACATTCAAAATCAAAGAGGGGTCTAGTATTTTTTGTCTCAACACTGCAAACAAACTTTTGGCTTTGCGGGTGCCGGGGATGTAGATCAGTGGCACAGCACCTGCCTGGCAAGCACGAGGTCCTGAGTTTGATCCCTGTACCAAAAAAAAAACCTTTTGGTTTTGGGTGTGATTGTCATGGTGCTGAGGGTATGCTTCTGTATCTGGTCTTCAATCGTGGTCATTTGAAGTTTCTCTACATGTCATAGAGGACCTTCTTGTAGTCTGGATTTTGTATGCTTTGAATAGAGGATTTTACATGCTTAGGAGCCATGATGAATAAAATAACACAAGATTAAACCAGGCACATGAAAACGATGCAACCAAGAAACATGGTAAACTTAAGATCTATGAGACTTTTGCTGGTACAGCATGGCACAGTGTTTGCAGTAAATCTTTTTTTAAAAAAAAAAAAAAAAGAGTGAACTCTATGATGAATATCATGTATATCTAAAATATACCAATAAATGTTTTGCTAAAAATGATAAAAGTATAGTAAAAAAAACTCCAAATATACTATAGTCAATATATATGCCAGTAACACAATTGTTCATTATCAAGTATTGTGTGGTACATAATTATATATGCTATACTTTTATTAATGCATAAAGTCTATGCTATAATTTTATACAATTTGCAGTGCAATAGGTTTGTTTATACCAGGATCACCACAAAAAGGTAGAATCTTTTTGCAAATGGGAAGGGGATCAAGGGATGGAGGGAAAGGGGAATAAAAGGAGAGGAAGGGGAAGTAAAAAGTATCTAAGATGTGTTATGTACCTGTACCAACTCCCCATGATGTACTGCAAACATGTACTAATAGGGCTCGGGATTTAGCTCAGTGGTTCCGCTGCTTGTCTCACAAGCGGAAGGACCTGAGTTCAATCCCTGGTACCAAAAAAAAAAAAACATGTACTAATAAAAATTTTTAAAAAGTGAAATGCTTTGCACTATGACCTTACAAGGAGTATAATGACCTCATTAGACAAAAGGAATTTTTCAATTATATTACAATCTTATCTATATGTAATCAAAATTGACTGAAACATGTGGTGCATGACTGTTTGACAAATCTAATAACCTATTCCCAATCAAAAACAAAAACCAGAAAAACAAAACTAAGCAAAACAGAAGTAGAAAGGAAATTACTTCCCCAACATAATAAAGAGCATCTCTACAATTAACATCATATTCCACCATTAAAGAATGTTTTCTATCTAAAATTAAGAAGGATGTCCACCCTCATGATGCCACGTATGAATGGAAGTGGTATGTACATGCAATGTAATATTATTCAGTTTTTTAAAAAAGAAAATTTGTCTCTTGAGTGCAAAGTCCTGGGTTTGATCCCTAGCACCATTAAAAAAAAAGGAAAAGGAAATCTTGTTATATGATACAACATAGATAAATCTTAAAAACATTATGTTAAGTGAAATAAGCCAATCACAAAAGGACAAATACTCATGATTACATGAAGAATCTCAAGTGTCAGATTTAAAGCAGAAAATTAGAATGGAAGTTGTCAAGAACTGGGTCAGGAGTTGCTATGCAATGTGTACACAGCTTTAAGTCATATAAAATGAAAAAAATTCCAGAGATATGCTATAAAACAACGTACATAGATTTAACAATACTGTATATATAATTAAAAATTTGGGGCCGTGGATTTAGCTTAGGGGTTTCATCGCCTACTGAGCAAGTGTAAGGACCCGGGTTCAATCCCTGGTACCAAAAAAAAAAAAAAATATATCAGAGAGGTTAAGGGGCTGGGGATTTAGCTCTGGGGTTCCAATGCCTGCCACACAAGCTCAAGGTCCCGAGTTCAATCCCCGGTACCAAAAATTTGTTGGGCCAGGGGATTTGGCTCAGTGGTTCTGCCACCTGCCTCACAAGCGCAAGGTCCTGAGTTCGATCAACGGAACCAAAAAAAAAAAAATTTGTTAGTAGTGTAGGATACATTTTTTTTTTTTTTTTAATAAGAATACTTTTTTCTTTGCAGACAGATCTTGCTTCTTGCTAAATTCCCCATGCTGGGCTTGAACTCATGATCCTGCTGCCTCAGCATTGCAGAGTGCTGGGAATATAGGTTTGTGCACAGCTATGCCCAGCTACAATAATACTTTTAAAAAGAAATTCTAACCATCTTCTAAACAACTCTGTAAGATTATAGCATTTGGACTTGTACAATGAGACAAAATGGTTCAAACTATAGATGTAAGAATGGGAGAGGACTTCTAGAATCCATCTTTATCCTGTCCTACATTCATCCAATTTATTCCTGAATCTATCTCCCTAAACTGGTGAGAGATTAAGGACGGAGAACTAAATTAAATTTTATATATGGTCTCCTGGCACCATAAAATAAAATACTTCAGAAGATATTAAGTTTGGACTCCTAATCTGTATTATATTTTTAGTATCTTTAGGTCACGTCCTTCTTCGATAACAAATGGTAATTTGTATCTAAGATAAATCTCTGCCCAAATCCTGAATCTAATACTAGTCCCCATTAAGCAGTGAATAAAATTAGTCAATACGATTTCAAGGAGCTGACATTTATCATCTCAAAAACAACTAAAAGAACTCTAAGATTACAACTACAGACGAAGAGTCCCAATTTAAGATCTCTTCTGAAGTATATTTTACAATGAGAAGACCATCTATAAAATACTTTCCATATAAGCAAGACTAAGTGTTAGTTCTATCTCTTTTTTCAAATATATTACATAAAACAGGATTTGGAATCAAAATACATATATGAACACCTAATATATGAACTCCTAAAATATATGTATGTGTATATATATATACACACACACACACACACACACACACACACACACATATGAACTCCTAACAGTGTTCATAACTGACTCTATATCCTCCATAAAACATATTGAGAAATTTAAAATAATTCAAATAATTTTGAACAAATTCAAAATACACGAACACATCCTTCCAAATTCAAATCAACATACATATATGAACACCTAATATATGAACTCCTAATATATATGTATATAGTATATACATGTATATATATATATACACACACATATATGAACTCCTAATAAAGGAGTATATATGAACTCCTAACAAAGTGTTCATAACTGACTCTATACCCTCCATAAAACATATAAATTTAAAATAATTCAAATAATTTTGAACAAATTCAAAATACATGAACATATCCTTCCGAATTCTACCTACATAAGATATTAGAGAAAAATCTAATAATTTTAACCTAAGACTATACTATCTTCTGTATAAATGTGTGTGTGTGTGTGTGTGGTGTTCTGAGGTAGGGTGTTGATATGGAGCCAGGCTGGCCTTGAACTCATTATGTAGTCCAGGCTGGCCTCAAACTTGTAACAATCCTTTTGCCTCAGACTCTCAAGCACTGGTATTACAGGCATGCACCACTATGCTTGACAAGAATATTTAAAAATTCTAAAAACTTCTCAGGTATGATATCAATATATATGTTTTTAATTTTTCTTTAATTATTGAAAAAATATTTTGATCCAATGAAAAACTATAGTTAAAAAAAAAATCTCATTTAATTCCATTCAAATCACAGCTCTCTGGCCACATTTCTCTAACATCTATAAATTACAAAGACTCAATGTTTTAGTAAGATTATACTGATATAATCACATTCTTTAGATGCTACTGTTAACTAGGGTGAAACAGATTCATGAAATTCCTGTACTATCAAGAACATAACTACTTTTGTCCAAATCAAAGAGGTATATTTTGTAGTGGCTAACAAAATCTTTCTTGATCCTATCATTTAATCTAAAGGAACTGAGATATAAATAGGATTAAACTTTCAGGCTACAAATAGTATGCAAAAGAAAATCACAGAAACCCTAATTTAACTTGAGAAAAACTCTTTAAAATATATGTGTGCATATATATATATATATATAAAATGTATGAATAAAATTGTGTATAGGCTTAATGATATTTTCAAAGAGACTACTTGACTTCAGTTTCAGTTTTCATGACATTCTTACCTATACAATCCATCGTCAATCTCCAAAGATTCTGCTGGCATGATGGGCAAAGTTTTACTTGCACTGGGGGGGAAAAAAACCGAAGGTGTAAGAGCAAGTATGGTTATTAAATATTCACATTCTACATTTTAGCATCCAATTATAAATGGGAACATTCTTAAATTATTAAAAGATTTTTATATACTATATTATCATCAAACACTTTACCTTTTAAGATGTGTTGAAATTAAATTCACTAATGCTTGTTCTGTCCAATGTGTATTGTAGATTATAGAACCTGTTTTACTTTCAGACGTTATTTTGTTATTGCTATGTTTATTCTGATGAACCTTTTCTATACTCACTCTTTCTATACATTAACTCACTTAGTCCCATGGGATTTACCATAGACTGATGAGATCTAAACTCATTTTTCTATGTGTGAGCTCTCCTGATCTCCAGATTCGATACACCTGCACAAACAGTAACTCATCTTTATGTCTAACTGGTATCACAAACACAAGCCAAAACAGAATTTAATTCTCCTTGTCTCTCATATAGACATAAAGGAAGCACTCAAGAAATACTTGTTGAATGAATTTTGCAAAGTTAAAAATAAAACGTAAGCTAAACTTAACTAATGAAATTACATATCCTTACTATAGTGATGTATCATTCACAGCAGCATGTCCCAATTTTTCAACAGCACTGTACATAAAGAAAAATGGTAGCTTTTGTAGGACACTAGGGAAGCAGAGATTCAAAGGCAATGAGAACCAGCCTGGTGCATTTGGGTGTGAGCCACAGTGATAGCTGAAGTCACTATCATCTTGGCACAAACGCAATCCATACCAGGATCTGGGAAGCTCTATTGTCAATTTAAGGATTCTAAAAGCAAGAGGACAGCACGAAATTCAGGTTTGGAGTCTAATTTTCTAAGCCTGCCATCGATAAATAAGCCAAAGTGTTTGTAAATGTAAGTCATAAAAATGTTCTCAATTATTTTACCACACTGATTAAGTACCATCAAATGGTATCAGTATCTAGCTATTTGAATACATAATTATGAAAATTCTTGATTGCAATTATGAAAGCAAAACAGAAGTCAACAGCACAAACACATACATAAATCCTGTTTGGGCACTGTAACAAAATATAAATAAAATTTCGTATTTATCTTATACCTACTTCACTTTCACTTGCTGTCTTCCTTACCTGGGGCACAATTAAGTGGGTAAGCTCTTGAGTGAAAAATAGAAGAGCACCATTCTAATCAGCTCTGCCACTAACAGTATGACTGGCATTTTTCAGAAAGTTCTGTCTCACTGAAAGTTTGGAGAATATTTAAAAAAATAAGACCAATGAGACGATAAGTGCTTCAAACAAGGGGCATTTTATGACACAGTGTCTCCCAGGAAATTGTGTCAGTGTTGGCCAAGGCAGACAGTACCACGGTGCTTAGGAGTAAAACATTCCCTCAATCTGAAACTGGTGGAAAAGGTACAGGTTTACGGGCAATCTCTTATTACCTGAAAAGAATACATCCATCACTTCTGAATTTGGTATACTGCATTCTGACAATGGGCGGGATACAACCACCAATTTTATTAATTACAATGACTGAAAGAGGTACTACTACTAGAACACTGGTTACTTTTCCTCTCAAGTTTCGCAAGGGCAGAAAAGACGCAAAGAAAGACCTCAAGACTAACTGGAACCTAAGAGCAGACCCCTGGCACCTTTTATTCCCCCGACACTGGCCCTCGGGTGTCCACCCACCCGGACCACCGAACAGCAAGGTTCCTGGAGCATCAACCGAGCGTGCACACCGCCCCGGCGCCCACCGCCTCGGGCCGAAGGGAATGCGCTCGGCCCAGCACGGTCGCTCACAGCAAGCAACAGGGACGAAAGCTCTCCCGGAGGGGGCACGCTCGGTGACAAGGAGAGGCCATACCAGCCCGGCTGAAGGCCGCAGAGTCCCGAGTCCACGCGCCACACCCACTGCGCGCGCTCCCGCCGCCAGCCGGAGGGACAAGACCAGCCCCAGCCCCGCCCTACCTCAGCCCCTCACCTGCCTGGCCCCCAGGAGGAGCAGGACGCCTCCGCTTCTTGGGGCGCGGCCATCGGCGGGGACCCCTCCATGGTCGCCCCGGATGCCGCCGCTGCCGCTGGATAGGAAGAGGCAGGGAGGGGGCGGGCCGCGGTGGTCAAAGGGCACGTGTGACGTCACAGCGGGCGGGCAGGGAGCGTGAAGCCCGACGCTTTCCCGACAGCCTCCGCGGTCCAGGTCCGTGGGCGTGGCCGTCGGCCGCTTCCGCCCAGGTGAGGGAAGCGGCGGCCGGAGGCCGGGCCCGGCATGCCTCCGAGGAAAGCAAACCGGAGTTACGCGGCACCTCTGGTTCTGCTGGCCAAGCACACAGCACTCTAGTGATTGTGTCGTAAATCCTTATAGTCTCGCGGCCACAAGAGGAAACCCTTCATTTTATAAATAAACCGAAGGCTGGCCATGCTCCAAATTCCTTTTCTGGGATTCCATTTAACACATATTTTGGAGCATCGTCGCGTGTGAGGCATTGTTATATTTTAATAGAATCACTTTTTTTGGTAGAGGTAAAAAGTGTGTCCCCTTTATGGGTGAGGGAATGGAACCTATGGTCAGTGTGACTTCGTGTAAGTCATACAGCTAATTAAGATGACCAGAACTCGTGCTTAAGGACTGCTCATCTAATTCTTTTCATTGACTGTCATTTCATCTTTTTTTTGGGAAAAAAATTAGTTGAACACTAGTTAAAATAGCATGAGATGTGTTTTTCATTCTAACTATACTTGAAGAAATGTCAGCAGGATTTTAAAAGTTTGCATATATCCTGGATATAATTTTTTATAATGTATAATATTTTTACTAAATTAGAATTCCTTTTTCATGTGGAGATGAGGGTTCCAGTGGAATGGGCCAAAATTGTCCAGGTTCTTGTATATGTTGAGGAAAGAATTGCCAACCATATACCTTGTAGTAAGTAATAGATGGCTATGTTTATTGAAGATCACGGAGAGTAGCAGGAACAGGGAGGAGGAAGAGGAAGTCTTGATGAGTCTTAATACAGCTCAGGCTTTTTAAAGGGTCAGGCACCTCTAACTTCAGATGCCTCCCATTGTGGTCAGACACCTCCGACTCCAGGTGCCTCCCATCTTGTCTTTCACTTGTGTTGAAACTAAAGATCTCCTGCTTTGGGCATCAGGACCTTCTCAAAGTAAACGTGGATAATCACCAGAGCAGTGCCCTCACCTACAGCTGAATGAAGGAAAGAGCGTGACTCACTCAGATGCTCTGTGATCCTCCATTTCTCACTTTTATCAGGTCCATTACCTTTTGTGCTCCTCCCTTTTGTTTTCACAGTTGCACATCTCCAAATACTTGGAAGATTCATGTTGCTCATATGTAGCCTGCCTACCCTATGGGATAGGTTGGCATTCTCCGAAATGGTAACACTATGACATTTTATTAAGAACCATCTTTATTTTAAATGATACTACACAATTGTATGTATAATATATATCTTTATGTATGTATCTGCTCATATACACAAATTTGCTCATAATAGTCAAATTGTGTCCTAAATAAAATAAATATATTTAAATTTTTCAAATTATATACTCTACATAAAGCTGTCAGGCAACCTGAAAAATTGAGGACTTTGTGAAAAGAATCTAGCCCCATGGCCTTGATAGTAGAGCGCCTGGGACAAAGCTGAGAAAGAGATGGGAAAGCCAACTGGGAAGCACAGCTAGATAGAGGGTACAACCTAGATTAACTCTCAGAAACAAACCACAACAGAATAAACAAAATATGTGGTAGAGAGGAAGGGAAGTGGAAAGAGAAAAGATAAGCCCCAGGATGAAAACTGACCTATTAAGTTCTAGTACCTTGGAAAGAAGGAGATACAAACAATGGGATCATAGAAGTAAAAGTTGTGGGGTGGTGAGCAGAGGAAGGGAGAGGGAGATCGAAAATCACAGTTTCCTGCTATTAATAAGCCAAATGCTCCTGAGTCTCAAAATTTCACTCTTCCCCTGAATCCTAAAGGCTAAAATGGAAAATAGGCAGCGCCAGAGATTTGAAGCTATTTAATCCTAATTCACATACTTCTTACTCTTGGTCTCTAACTGCATCGGAAATGACTGGTTTATAATCATGTCCTTTTAAGGTTCTGTTTTAGCACTAGTTTTATCCTTTCTCTTTATTCTAAAATTAAATATAAATATTTTGACTAGATACGTAAATTTGTCTGCATCCTTCCCTCTGATTTCCCTTCCTCATTTCTTCTAAGTATCTATGGAATGCTTATTAAACATTAGTGGCTAATGACTAGATGATAATCAGGCAATAGAGATTTCATCAATCTCCTTATGGGAAGACAAAAATAGACAATAAATGGTAAAAGTGATTTCAAAAAGTGCTTAATATGATGATGAAAATAGAAGAAGACAAAGAGGTTGAAAGAGATGGGGGAGAAGAGGAGGGAGAAAGTTTCACATCACCTCTTTGAGAAAATGGCCTTGGAACCAAAACCCAAAAGATGTGGGCCATATGAAATTGTAACAGAATAGAATTTTAGAGGAAAATTCAAATGCAACCTTCTTTTCATTTTTAAAAAATTTTTATCACCACCTGGCGCATATTTATTTGTATATTGTCTTTCTACCTTTCAAAAAGAGTGGCTTTTCCTGGGGAAAGATTCAGTGTAAAGGGGATTCCACAGTAGATTCTCCACTCTTGGCTCTGAAGAGAGAAGAAGACGACATACAGTACTGTAACAAAGAACACAAATGGCCTTTGGGAGCTAAGAGTGGCCTCTGGCTAACAGCTAAGAAAGAAATGGGAATCTTGGCCTACAGCTACATGAAACTAAATTTGTTAACATGCATATGCTTGAAGAAGACTGTCGCTTCAACATAGTTACCTGATATTTTGATTTCAAAATATGAGACGGTGAGCAGAGCCCAACTATACTGTGCCTCTAAGTCTGACCTGCAAAACTGTGAGCTAATAGATTTGTTATGTAATAGTAAAAAATAAATACACCGCATTTTATTTAAGACCTACATTTCATCATATTTTAACTTTCATGAAATTAAAATATATATTTTTCTTTTTTATCAATACAGAATATCATGGTGTATCTTATTAGTTTTGCATTGCTGTAATAAATGCTGAGATAATCAATTTAAATGGATTGTTGCTTTGGGCCCAAGGCAGCCCAGTACATCATGGCAAGAAAACATGACAGTGTTATACCCAGCGAGAGAGAATCAACCAGAGACTGATATTAAATCCACATAGGAGTTTATTACCGGCTGGGACCCGAGCCGAGCATCAGACTCCAGCCTCAACTAGGGGTTGACAAACATGTTTTATACACCTGTGAGGCCAACAGTTTCTAGGACCCCCTATGGGAGAGAACTAGTAAAGCAAGCAAAAGGTACAGAAGTGGAACGTCCTGCTGTTAAAACATTTGTAAAACAATAGTTGATTAATTGTTTCTAAGAGACTCTCTAAGGGGAGGAGGTTTCTAAGCTTCCTCCTTCTGAGTTCATCTAAAGGGCAGGCAGGTGGGTCAAGCAGCAATATGGAGTCTGTCTTGCTAACAAGGGTCCTTCAGACAGAGAGACCTGTTTACCTCATAGCAGTTGGGAAGCAAAGAGAGAGGAAGGGCAAGGTTCCCACTATCCCCTTCAAGGACATTTCCTTAGTAACCTAACAACTTCCATTTAGGTTCCCAGCTCTTAATTTTGACCATCTCCCTTTAGCACCACAGGATGCAGATCAAGCTTTTACCATGGGCCTTTAGGGGTCATTTAAGATCCAAACCATAGCTGAGGGCATCTTAGATTTGATGAAATATGGTATAAATTACTTGAAACATGCACTGTAACAGGTACCCAGAAGTAATGGATTTTAATGTTTTGCCACATTTGCAAAATGGGAAAAGCTAGATTATCACCAGATGTTTTGACAGTGAAATTTTACGCCACAAGAAAGTAAAATAACATATTTAGGACGTTCAAAGAGGAAAATATAAGCCAAGAATTTTATATCTAACAAAATCAACTCTCGTATTCAAAGTGTACAAAGTGTTACATTTGTTGTGTAATCAACATCGCCAAGACTATCTTTTCCATGTGCCTCTTGAATAACTATTGGAGAGTGTATATTTGACAGACAAAATATCTAGACAAATGTCTTGGAGATTGGTTCTTCATGGAAAAACATAACCTATTATGTTTATTAGCTTTTGCATTCCTTCTAACTTATTCTTGATGACTGATTCTCTTAAGTCCTATGATTTCTGAGTTTTTCTAATTCTAAGTCATGTTCTTTCATATCTTGTATCATTTTCTTCATTCATTTAGAATGTTTCAAAATATTAACTGACAGTTTAGATCTATTTTGTTGTGACTTTTTCAGGGATATTTTGTTGTATGTGATGATGATGTTATGCTTATTTACTGTTTTTAATAACTTTATATGGGTTTTGAACTTAATACTTTTTTGTTCACTTGCTCACTTTTATGTGAAACTAGTGTTCCTGAATTTTTAGTATGAAACAGGCTTCTTAGTTTAATTAGCTTAAGTCAATCAGGAATGAACTGTGTCCGAAGAAAGTCAAGTTTCCTGGTATATTGCAGGGAGGGAGTCCATGTTCCAAAGGAACTAGGGAATGCGACATCGAACAAAGAAAAAGATTTATTGTAGGAATTTGGGGAAGTGTGAAGTTAAGGAGAAATTACAATGAGGTGCTATTTTTTCCTTGTATTTGCAGTGTATTTTCTAGTTTAAGCAGTTTTCATGTGTTTTGTTTTCTGCTACCCGGAATCACCAGTGCATTAGAAATACACTGGCCTCAGATACACACATTATTCACTTATTGAGCTCTACATAGCTTTATATTCTTTTGACAAAGCATTTTTATTTATGCTTCTTTTAATCTTTATATCTGCAGAGCATGACACAATAAAATTATGATATAGTTAAATTCATTATAAACACTTAAAATTCCCAAGTTTTATGTGCTTTATAGTTTACAAAGCACACTCATATATTTTTCTTCAAGTCACCTGAATTTGATTACAAACAATCACTGCATGCTAGTGCCTGAACTGGGACAGGCACAAAGAAGGAAATCAATATTATTTGAATAGATTCTCTGGCATTTACATCAGGGATTCTTAAATTATGGATAGCAGGCCAAACCCACTTAGCTTACAAACGAAATGGCTCGTATCTCTTTAAAAGGCTAAGACTGTGCAACAGAGACAAGATGGCTTGCAAAATCTAATTTATAATCTTGACCTCTAAAACAAAAAAAATGTAATGATCCCTGATAATGCTTCACAGGTTACACTGTACTT